AGGCTCTTTCCATAATTTGGCTGTTGTTGAAAGTGCTGCTATACACATTGGGGTACAAGTGCCCCTATGCATCAGCACTCCTGTATCCCTTGGGTAAATTCCTAGCAGTGCTATTGCTGGGTCATAGGGTAGATCTATTTTTAATTTTTTGAGGAACCTCCACGCTGTTTTCCAGAGCGGCTGCACCGGTTTGCATTCCCACCAACAGTGCAAGAGGGTTCCCGTTTCTCCACATCCTCTCCACCAGGTGCTATAACTTGAATAACACTTCATTATTTAACTCATTCTGTCCCATGAATACATAGAGACGCTGTAAAAGTTCTTCCCTAACTCTAATCCCTGGATTGAGATTTTCGTTTGCTTTTCAGGTTCGGTGTACCACTTTGATAAATCGACTTCATCTTGCATTTCTACCAATGCTCTTCTTCCAGATCCATATGAATCAGAGAGGTAATTTTTTTTCCTTGTGGTTTTAATAGCCCTGTTTATAGGAGGTTAAATAGCCCTAATGGTGGGAACTAATCCTTCTTTGTGGCTGTCTGAAAAAAAGTTCATATATTGTAATGAAGAGTGTTTTTATGCTCATATAGACTCTGTCCCTGTGAGAGAGTTTCTCCACCCATAAAGCACAGAACAGCCATGTGTCAGTCCCAGAATGAAACTTCTACATATAGACAGCTGTCGGGCTAGGCAGCCAGCTATGCCCTACCCAGTTGTCCCCTTTTTGAGGGCCCTGGTGCAATGAAAGCCACATGCCGGCCTCTAGAGCATTTCACCTTCTTTAAAGCTCTGTCTAGCCAAGGCAGGAACCAGAATGCCTCCTTTACTTAGCATAGCTGAGAGGATCTGGAACACAAGACATTTTCTTTATTCACTAAGAGAGAACAGGCATGAAAGAAAGACAATATAAGAAGCATAAAGACATTCCAGCTTATAAATGACAAGCTTCCGATTCTATAAGCTCATTCCCCAAGTGTCAAGTCCCATTCCATTTCATCTTCTCTAAACTCCAGTGCTCAGTTCTTGGTATGACTTGCTCTGGTACTCTCCCCGAGATGCTTGTCCCCTAGCAGCTGGCCTGCTCCTGAGTAAGAGTGCCATCTGCAGTTGGCCTTCTCTTTGCCTCACTCATTTGTTAGCCTGGCTTACAAAGCACGACTCCCATTCACTTTTTGTTCTGGTCCCATCTGAAAAATGGGCCACTTCCTTGGTTTAACTGACAGGGCTCCCACCACAATGTCACAATGAATGAAAGGCCTCTTTCTTGATACAAAGCTGTGGTCCATTTACAAAGGGAAGGGTTTGGTCTCTTGTCTCTTGCCTACCGGAAACACAAAAGCGGGATAATCGTATGTATCCATCTTTTTTGTTACTTTCGTTGTGATGATGCTGTATAATGATACCCTCAAAACCTAACAGTGGTTTATGAATGCAGAAATGTTATGTTACACTCATGATTCTGTAGGTTAGCTGAGGTTCAGCCACTTTTGACCAGGCTCAACTTGGCTCAGCTGGATGAGGCTGGACTTCAGATTTCAAGTTGGGTTCAGGTCGGTTTCACATGTCTGTATTCCAAGATGCAGGCTGAAGGAGCAGTGGCCTCCTCAGGCATCTTCTTCTGGTGGAGATGAATGGAAATCGCAGAAGACTGACAGATATTTGTCATCCTCTTAACACCTGGGCCCTGGCATGCAGTCCTCCTGCCCATGTCCCAGTAGCAAAGCAGAGCATACGGCCAAGCCCAGCATGGTCCCGGCAGGGGTACATGGTCTACCCACCGTGAAGGAGGCACCACAAGGTCACATGGCAAAGTAGCAGGATGTATAATTCTACCACAGGGAAGGAGTAAAGTTGGAAGCAATAATTTAGTCCTCTAGTCCATAAAATAAGTGTAAGACCCATGGAACAAAAATTAAAGATGAGCATTTCCACCAGAGTCATTAGATCACAGCACCCAAAGAACTGGAATGTTAGTTGTTCATGGGGCATGCACTCTCTTATTCAATCCAGTTCAATAATGATGAGTGAGTGCTGTTTTCCTGTAAACCAGGGATTGGCAAACTTTTTCTGTAAAGAGCCATATTGTAGGTCCCTACTGCAACGACTCAGTTCTGCCTTTGTAACGCTAAAGCAACAAGAGACAGCAAATAGGCGTGGCCACGTTCCATAAAACTGTATTTCCAAGAGTGGGCAGCTGCCAGATTTGACCCTTGGGCCATAGTTAGTGGACATGTTATAAACCCTTTTGTTGGGAAGTGCATATTGAATATGTTTTACTAACTGTCAGTGTTTCAAGTGAAAGATTCATCTTGGGGCTTAATTAAAACAGCCTTTCCTTCCTATTTAGCCCTGACAAATGGGCATAGCTTGAATTACTTGGGAAATGTTTACTTGTCCAGGAAGACAGTGAAAACACTCATTAACTAAAAACATGATTTCTTTTTAAAAAAAAAACTCTTATCAAATGTTGAGTTGCTTTATGAATACAGTGAAGCCTTGAACAACACAGGGGTTGGGGCACCTCCCCTCTCCCCCACTGCACACAGCTGAAAATCCACATATAATTTTTGATTCCCCAAAAACTTCACTACTAATAGCCTACTGTTGACAGGAAGCCTTACCAATTACATAAACAGTTGATTAATACATATTTTGTATGTTATATGTATTATATACTGTATTCTTAATAAATATTAGTATTTCTTACTATTTACTTACTATTACTTACTTAGTATTTCTCTAGTAAGCTAGAGAAAACAAAATGTTATGAAGGGGGTGCCTGGGTGGCTCAGTCAGTTACGTGACCAACTTTAGCTCAGGTCATGATCTCAGCTCATGGTTCGAGCCCCGCATCAGGCTCTGTGCTGACAGCTCAGAGCCTGGAGCCTGCTTCAGATCTGTGTCTCCTCTCTCTGCCCCTCCCCTGCTCATACTCTGTCTTTGTCTCTCTCTCTCTCTCTCTCTCCCAAAGTAAATACATAGAAAGAAAGAAAGAAAGAAAGAAAGAAAATGTTATTAAGAAAGTCATAAAGGGGCGCTCCTGGCTGGCTCAGTTGGTAGAGCGTGCAACTCTTGATCTCAAGGTTGTGAGTTTGAACCCCATGTTGGGTGGAGAAATTACTTAAAAATAAAACCTTAAAAGAAAAGAAAAGAAAAGAAAAAGTCATGAGGAAGAGAAAAGACATTTGTGGTACTGTACTGTAAAAATCTCACACATAGGGGCACCTGGGTGACTCAGTCAGTTAAGCATCTGACTTTGGCTCAGGTCATGATCTCACGGTTCATGAGTTCTAGCCCTGCATCAGGCCCTGTGCTGACATCTCAGAGCCTGGAGCCTGCTTCGGATTCTGTGTCTCCCTCTCACTCTGCCCCTCCCCTGTTCGTGCTCTGTCTCTCTCTGTCTCAAAAATAAATAAAAACATTAAAAAAAAATTCCACATATAAACGGACCTGCATAGTTTACACCCATGGGTCAACTATATATAATATTCCCCATATTTGAGAGCATATTTTAAACAACACTCTTTTTTTTTTTAAGTTTTATTTATTTATTTTGAGAGAGAGAGAGTGCGTGAGCAGGGAGGGGCAAAGAGACAGAATCCCAAGCAGGCTCCACACTGTCAGCACAGAGCCCTATGTGGGGCTTGAGCCCTCGAACTGTGAGATCATGACATAAGCTGAAACCAAGAGTCAGATGCTTAACTGACTGAACCACCAAGGCACCCCCTAGACATCACTCTTAAAAGGTACATAAGTAGCAGTTCCTCAATTTCTAATGCCAAATGTTAGGGCTTAACTTTCCTTCCTTCCTTCCTTCCTTCCTTCCTTCCTTCCTTCCTTCTTTCCTTCTTTCCTCACTGGATTACTATGAACTGATGTTTTGGGTTCAGTAGCCATACTATGTTGATGGTTGATATAAAAAGTAACATATCAAACTGAAAGAACCATCGTTTGACTCTTTTTCCTATTTAGGGTTTATGTTGCTGAATCTCTCATTTCCAGTGCTGGAGAAGGACTGTTTTCCAAGGTAGCAGTGGGACCTAATACTGTTATGTCTTTTTATAATGGAGTTCGAATTACACACCAAGAGGTGAGTGGGGTAGAAGTGGAGAATCAACTTGATTGGCTAACGGGCTTTGTTTCAAACACTCTTAATTTTCCTGTTAGCCCCTTTAGTATTCCCTAGAAATATGAAAGAACAGTCTTTTTTGGTAAAACTGGTGGGATATACTGTCTCATAGCAGTCTTTGGACTGCTGTCGCGTGCTCGCTTCGGCAGCACATATACTAAAATTGGACTGCTGTCGCAAAAATGCCATTCACAGCATGGCCTATAAACAACAAAAATTTATTTCTCACAGTTCTGGAGGCTGGAAGTCCAAGGTCAACGTATTGACAGATTTGGTGTCTGGTTGGTCCACTTCCTGGTTCATGAATGGCCCTCTTGTCATCGCAGCCTCACATGGCGGGAGGGACAGGGGATCTCTCTGGGGTCTCTTTTAAGTTTCACAGCTATTTAATCAAAAGTGGGATATTGCCGTGAATGAGACAGCAGTTGCTTTGCACTGTGCTACACCCAGTATCTGAAAAATTGAGATCCAACTGGACTCTGTTAGTAATTATTATGATCTTGCACAGGGCACTGTATAGGCAGGCCCCCTCCTGTTTGTGCGAAAGTCACACAGTAGCCTGCATCCAGCCAGGAAGTGTTCTACTGCCAAAAAAAAAACCCAAAAAAAACCCAAAAAGAAAACAAAAACAAACAAAAAAAAATGAAAACAAAAAGTTAAAGAATAATCCCCTCTTGCCTTTAAAATACAACTTTGATATATTTTCCAGAATTCATGTGTGTTTTTGCTTCTGTTTCTTCGCTTCACAATGAACTTCCTTACATGTCTGCCTAAGGGCAGAAAGTCGATGCTTTAGCCTGGCTTGTCGTCTTCATCTGGTCTCACTTGCATTAAGCGTGTAGGACTTGGGCTTGCTGGTTCTATTGCTCATTCATGTCTTCACTTTTTTACTTCCTGCCGTGGACTGCTATGGGGGAAATGCCATGAAATCATCAAGTGTTTGCACTTTCAAAGCCGTTGTACCGACAAGGATGGCTTTGCACTCAAACTGAGCCGTGGTCGGGCACGCGGTATCCCCTGGTCATAGCCAGACTTCTGTGTCTGACGATCCAGGAAATTCAGCATATGAAAGGTGGCTCAGGATATTGACACGCTACTTATTTATTCTCACATTAGATAACAGACAACAAAACTGAAGCCCAGAGAGGGTAAGCCATTTGCCCAAGGTCACAAATACAGTAACCATCAGAGTTCAAGCAGGATTTCAAACAGCGGAATCTGGCTCCAGGCGAAACTCACTGTGCTGTACTGTATAAATGGATGGGCACCCTCCTTCCTGAAATTTAGATTCTATTGGGGAGATAAGAAAAATACACAACTGACAGCAACCTAAAGTAGATGGTATCTCAGTATCACGTGACAGGGCTGGAATATTAAGACCCGTGAAGATTTTTTTCACGTTCATCACTGCTATATTCCCTGCACCTAGGACAGTGCCTGGCATGTGGTAGGCACTCAGTAAATAGTTGTTGAATAAATATCAGGTACAAATAATAGCCCAGTTGTAATTTAGGGGCAGGAGAGACAGTACAACTCTGAGAGTCAATAGTTCTATATAAAAATGTGATCCTAGGGGCACCTGTGTGGCTCAGTCGGGGAAGCATCCGACTCTGATTTTGGCTCCAGTCATAATCCTACGGTTCATGAGATCAAGATCTGCACTGGGCTCCATGCTGACAGTGCAGAGCCTGCTTGGGGTTCTTTCTCTCTCTCCCTCTCTCTGCCCCTCCCCCCCACCTCAAAAATAAATAAATAAACTTAAAAAAAAAAGTGATCCTATTTACTCTCAAAAAACTGTTCGGCTGGCATCACCAGATCCTGGGCTGTGGCTTGGGGTGGGGAAGTGGCTTGGAGAAGGGAAGCCTATTAGTGAATGAGCCCTAATGTAGGTAAGAAAGCACACTGGTAGCTGGGGACTCTGCTGGTCACATTGGTCACCCGCTTGTAACAAAGGTGAAGGACTCTCCTGAAACACAGTTTTGCATTCTCAAGTTCTGGTTCCACTTGATGTTCTTACTTTTGTTTTACTTTTGCCTCATCTTCACAGTAGGGGTCCAAGGGATTTGGAGGTTGATCAGAGAAACAGATAAGACCACAGGAGGCAGTAGCACACAGGTTTTCTTGTCACTGGGCAGTGCTTAGACAGGGCGGCAAGAGACAGGATGTGCTCCCAGCATGAAACGGTCCAGAAGCTTGTGCACGAAGGCCACAAACAGAGCAGGAGGAAGGCAGGGAACTCCCAGGAAAGAGAGGGGCAGAGAGGGGGCTTATGTGTCTAGGTGACCTGGGGTACGGCGAGGGGTCTCTGGGCCAGAGACCTCCAAATGACACAGGCCGTCTGGGGGCTTTATGGTGCCGGAATTATCTAATCTACTGATGGCAGATGTGGGGTCAGGTGTCCCCAGGAAAGCAGGCCCTGAATGGCTAAAACTCTGCTTTGTTTGGGCCCTTTAAAAAACAATTGGATGTGTAATGGGGCTCCTGGGTACCTCAGTCCGTTGAGTGTCCGACTTCGGCTCAGGTCATGATCTCTCAGTCTGTGAGTTCGAGCCCCGCATCAGGCTCTGTGCTGCCAGCTCAGAGCCTGGAGCCTGCTTCAGATTCTGTCTCTCCCTCTGTCTCTGCCCCACACCCCCACTCACGCTCTGTCTGTCTCTCTCTCTTTCAAAAATAAATAAACTTAAAAAAAAAACAATTAGATGTGTAAAAATTTGAGTTTGGTGCTGGAAGGCTTTTGAAGTAACAAGTCTTAGCCTGCAGTGAAGAAATAAACAACCTCGGGACATCTGGTTATATTTTTGTGTGTCTTTTAAGGGACTTCAAATCCTTTTTTTCATAGAAGATAAAGAAAAATTAATACATTGTAAGTTGAGCTGCCTGGTGCTGCCCATAAATGGCTTTTGCACCATCAGTGTGCAGACAGATGCCTTAGGTTCTTTTCACGTATATAACACTCAAACCATGAAACATAAGGACAAATGAGTTAATATTGCTGATGTTCTTTGAGATTTAGGGAGAATGGCTATCTCTAATGTTTGCTTTCTTGTTTTCTACAGGTTGACAGCAGGGACTGGGCCCTTAATGGGAATACCCTCTCCCTCGATGAAGAAACGGTCATTGATGTGCCTGAGCCCTACAACCATGTATCCAAGTACTGTGCCTCCTTGGGACACAAGGCAAATCACTCCTTCACTCCAAACTGCATCTACGACATGTGAGTATGACACCGAGCTTCCAGGGCAGATCTAGGTCCTATCCGCCAGGGCCCTGAGACTGAGGAAGGCATGTAACAGGTGTCATCCCGCCCCACGGAAGGCCGCTCCCTCCAAGTTACCCTCCCAGGACCCTCACAGATATGACCTGAAACTCAGAATCTAACTAGCTCCTCCTCTGGCCTTAGTAGGCCAAGAAATGGAAAAGTGCTTGGAAGGGTAGAAATGCTACAGAAATACTGTACTTTGTGTGCGCTGTTTTGTTGATACTTTTTTGTCCTTCCGTTGTCTCATTCTGGGAAAGTAAGGGTGGTGTTATACTTGAAATACTAGAAAAATTAAAATTGTTCTGCACAGTGGAGATTAGTGAACTCTTTTAGGTGTGTGAAAGGAAGGAGGAAAATAAAACGCTAAAGCTTAGGGCACAAGGTCTCGGTGTTGGAAAAGACCCCTGAAATCAGAGTCCGCATTATTTGACAATACAGAGGAAAGAAATACTGTCACATGCTACAGTGTGGATGAGCCTTGAAAACATCATGCTAAGTGCAAGAAGCTAGTCACATAAGGCCCATAGTGTATGATTCCATTGGTATGAATTGTCCACCACAGCAGGATTCATGGAGACAGAATATAGATCAGTGGTTGCCCAGGGCCGGGGGGAGTGGAGGGAAATGAGGTTAATGGCGCATGAGCATGGGGTCTCTTTTGAGGGTGGTGCAAGGAACTAAAATTAGACAGTGGTGATGGTTGCACGACTGAAACCCACTGAACTGTATACCTCAAATGGGTGAATTATGAGGTATATAAATTGCATCTCAACAAAGCTCTTATTTTAAAAAGCCAAATAATCCTACCTCTCAGAGTTTGAGCCTCCACTTCCACCTGCTCGTAGAACCTTTTCTCGTAAACCTCCAGCGACGGGGAGCCGCCCTTGAGGGCAGCTATCTGGACAAACTGAAGATTTTATGAAACTAGCTTTTGGGCTCTGATGATTAGAATGTTGTTTCCGTGGATACTAAGTGGGTTTCCTGGAACAGCCAGCCCTTGGCCCTAATCATTTCCCTTTCTCGTGCACTATGCCAGTCTCTCTTCCCCATAGCAGCCCTACAAATATTTTAGAAGTTTTCATATACGCCTTGAATGTCCTCCTTCCAAAGTGAAGCGTCTGACTATTCCTTGGAGGGTGTAGTTGGGATTCCTTGTACCGTCATCATTGATCTCCTTAGCTCAGTTGGAGAATGCCAGATCCTCCTGGGGGCCAGGCAGCTGCGTGCAACCTTTTCTGCTCAGTTAGAGCCTGCAGTCCCTCAGTGTATTGCTTGTTAACAGAAGCAGGATTAGATCCTGTGCATTTAATCTGTGGGAAAATTGCCAGGATTTGAATGTCCCTCCTTGCATCCCTGAGATGGCTTGAAAATTGTTCTGGCAGGGACTTGCTCCCCTTGGCACCCAGAAACAAGTACTGAAGCTACAACTGCTGTTTAAAGGGCAGGTAGAAATGGCAAAGGACATGTGTCATGTAAAATGAAACGGACACTGTTATTAACTCCAAGGCTTTCATGACCAATGTGAGTTAGGCCAAAGCATCGTTCCAAGCTGCACACAGCTTACCAACAATCTTTTAAAGCAGTGGTAACTAGCGATAATAAATGCTACTTAGACTGCTCTTTCAAAACAAATTAGTTCTGTGATTTCATTGCAAGGACATGATTTTTCTCCCCAAAAGGAAGAGAGCACAGGAGACAAGGGAGGGAACCATTTGTGCAGAATCAAGTCCCTGTACTCTTCAGGGTTATTTTCTTTGAGTCCAATGTGAAATACTAGTTGTTTGGGGTAATGGGAAGACTACCTGAATAATAATATAATATAAAATTCAGAGACATGGGGCACCTGGGTGGCTCAGTTGGTTAAGCTTCTGACTTCAGCTCAGGTCACGATCTCACCCTTCATGAGTTCAAGCCCCGCGTTGGGCTGTGTGCTGACAGGTCAGAGCCTGGAGTCTGCTTCAGATTCTGTGTTTCTCTCTCTGTCCCTCCCTCCCTCCCTCTCTCTTTCTGTCTCTCAAAAATAAACACTAAAAAAGAAATTCAGATACCAATTCATGGCATTCATTTGTCTGTAAAATCATTGGTATTATTATGCACACTTTGACATAAACAAAACAATATCCCATAAGCTGTAGTCTGATACAAAATGCCAAATGGACTACTTTCCTAGTTGTAAATATAGGTAACTTGTCACCAAGGGGCCAAACCACTCGGTGCAGAGGTTTGCTTTGACCAGTAATTGTGCTGCTGGCGTTTTCTGAGCACTTTAGGCTGGTGCTGTGCAAACAGCTTCTCCTGAATTACCTCATTTAGTCCTCCCAGTACCTCTGTGGGGCAACTTCCGTTACTGTCCCCTCACTCATGGACAGGAAACTCGGACCTCTTAGTCCAAGTGGCTAAGTGTCCTTAATTGTTGTGCCTTAGTGCTTGCCTTGGAGAATCAGCACCTGAAATTGAGTTTTTTTTCAGGGTGTCCATTTTCTACTCTTTGAAAATAACAGTAACACGTAGGAAAATGAAAATAGAAGAGGGTTGTAACAGAAGTCTTAGGCTTCTCCCAGACTTTTTCA